AATTAATAGAACTACCGTCAAACCATAAAAAAGTAAAATAATAACAAAAAGTAAACTTTATCTCTTTTCTTACTTCACTGCTTCATCCATTTGACCTTCCTTCTCGGATTTTGTTAATATGTTTCCATTTTCAGACTGTTCTATCGTTGTTGGAATTGATGAATTGTTCTTCCGACACCACTTTGTTGCGATTATGCTACACTAGCTATTTGTATTTTCTTCTTATATCCATCAATCAAATTTAGGTTGCACTTATTCCTAGGAAAAATTGACTTGAAACATAAACATTTGCTGTTAATTTTTGCTAAACAATAATACATAGATTTTGATATTGGCTTTATTTCTTATTGGCAGCTTATTACTTTCTTCCTTCACCTCCATTGGCTTATTCGTTCTCTCTCTCATATCTTCCAGTCTTCTTCCGTTTCGTTGAATTCCTGTATTTTGTATTCATTCACAAACCTACATAGGACACGTCCTTTTCGTATTGAACTTACACCTGTTTTCTCCGTATGTCAGATTACAGTTTCGCTGAACAACAAATGTGGTTGCTCACTCCAATCATTTTCTAATGACTTAGAGTGGTGTAATCCACTAATCTCTTATAGACTGACATGAGTTTTTTTGTGAGTTTTAAAAACAATCTAATAAAAGTTATATTTAAGTATTTCAACAGTTTATTCTATATGCAAATAGAAAGCCTTTCATTTTGAAGGTTATTCAACGGCGTGGTTACTATGATAAAGAACCTCAGGATTTCAACCAACCGTGGTATCAGTACAGAGCAGGATTCGGTTCTTTGAAAGAAGACTTTTGGCTTGGTTTGTATAATTTTCTCAAATAACATAGAAAACATTTTAAGTGTTTAAACGTGTGTATATGTGGTTAAAAACCTCTCTTTGTAACTGTATAGTTACAAACTATGTTATAATCCTAGCACTTCCTATGATATATTTCAAGTGAATCACTCAGATGTAATCTTATGATAGTCAGTTTAGCAAACTCTATATCTATTTACCTTATATCATTCTATTGTGGAATTGAAAAAGCAAAGTTTCAATACGCTACACGTTGATGTAAAATATCAATAATTTTCATATAATACACATCTTATATAATTTGTGAAGCGAAGTGCACAGTGGAAAGTAAACATGTTTAAATAAAAAAATAATGAGTATTCAGTAAAATTCTTTATTTTCTCATCAAGAGGTTGAATACAAAAAGTTTTAACAGTCTTTAACAAGACGAACTGATATTTAACAATATGTACGCACCATGAAAACTCTTATATTTTCAATGTTTAGTAGATATGCTTTCCAAAAACTAAAACTGAAAAATAAGGTGAAATTATTTTGATAACTCTGAAATGAGAATGGAAAAATAGTACTCTTAAAATACATTACATTATTTTTATAAATGAAACTTAATTTCGGGACCGGTTTAATCAAGAAGACGATAAGATTCAAATGTTCCATAAAACAATACGCGCCATCTCTACAATAATAAAGTATAATGTGTATGGAATCTCTATACTCTTCCTTCTTAGATAACATTAAAATTTCAAAATATTACTTACATTTTTACACGTTGGCTGATAGAACGTAATCTTGATATTTAATGTATTATTTCTTAGTTTATATTTATGGTATTTTGTTCAAAATATTTTTCATTAATATTTTTTGTAAACTAGATGATTTAGATTTTCTTTTTTAATATCAGTTGGAAGATATGTCACAATATGGTACACTTGTTCTTTTTATAATTATGTTAAATTACACTGAATCTTTATATTTCAGGAAACGATAAAATATTTGCCTTAACAAACCATAGAGAGATGGAGCTTAGAATAGATTTAGAAAATTTCACAGGGAAGAAAGTCTTTGCTAAATATTCATTTTTCTTGGTCTTGAGTGAGAGAAGAAAATATCAGATGTTTCTAGGTCCATACAGTGGAGATGCAGGTAAAGATAGTTTTAACATCTTTTTTTCCATTTCACATTTAACGAAAAATATAGTTTGAAATTTCTGGAGGTTAATGTTTAGTTTAATTATAGAACTATTCTTTTGATTATCTTTTTTTCTTGTTCGGAAAAGTGACACAAAACTTGTAATAAGAAAGGTTCTTTTGACATTTGTAATTCATGTCAATTTATTAAGAGTAACTAGAGTTAATCGAAAGTCATTAGTAGGATACAATAAGGATAAAAACAATCCTGTCGTATTTTCGTATTTGTTAAATTAATTAGAGTATTGGAAACACTAAAAACACAGTTCTCACGTGTTCGATTAAAAGAGGGGATACTGTTATATTAAAATGGCGTTTGAGAAATTTATTTCTCTCAGTCAAAGTTTTGAAGAAGTCTCAACTTTAGAATCTATGTTTCTCAAATAACATGGAAACTTAATAATTTCGTTTTGAGTTTACTTACTGATAAAACGTATTATTTCTAAGACACTTGTAATAATACATTTGAAGGCAAATTATCATTTCCTTCAGTTTCAAATACTTGAATACATTTCTTCTATTAAAAAGGAGAAGTACTACTGGTTTATTATATTTAAAACCAACTGTAGGTTGTAACGATTTAATAGGGAATTTCTCATCTTCAACACTTTTATGAATTATTTAGAGTACAAAATAGTAATGGATATATTATGTTTAAAATTTATCACTATACAAAACTTTTGTTTTATATCCTTTACTAAAATATTTATTGTAAAATGATTACATTTTAATAGAGATTAATTTAATTCCGTAACGAGATCTTTAATATGAAAGTATACGAATTCAAAAAATTGTAAATAACGTTTGATAAATATTGTATTTTTATACCATTCAATTGAAATAATTATATTACATGTTTCCAAGTATTAGTAGATTTATCAAACCAAGAATATAAATGCTTACAAAGATTCTCAATATGGATCTATTTCTGTTTACTTCTACTTTTATCTCTTTTAAATTTTATTCAATATCGTAAATTTTGATTTGAAATAAATGTCTAATAAAAATAATTTTACTTAAAGATTCAACCATTTGATTTTGAAAAATTCTGGATTCATCCATTAGGATATAGTTTCTGCTTTCCAAATAAAATAATCTTCCTGTTCCGCTAATACATTATTATGGCATTTTTTTTAATAATTAACTGAACATTTTTATGGTGGCTTACTTTGGCTACTTTACTAAGTTGTCAATAAGTCTTATCATTTGATGTTACTTTGAATTTGTATAATTTTATTTTAAGGGTATTAAAAGAAATGTCTATCTTATAATCAGATAAATTTAAACTTCTTATAGAATTAATAAAAAAGGTTTTCCGTCCAAGAAAGAAACATGGAGGCTAATGAGATAGTTTGCTAATCTTAATGATATAATTACGAATACTTTTTTCCAAACCTTTCGATATTTTAGTTTTTGTCTTCTTTATAATTCTAAATTTATTATATTTCCCTAAAATTACATTTAAGTCTTCATTTTAAATAAAATTCAAGGGATTTGCAATCCATTTTCTATTTCAATACGTTTAATCATTTTAAACTAGAGTTAATCGAAAGTCTTTAATAGGATAAAATAAGGATAAAAACAATCCAATTGTATTTTAGTATCGTTAAATATATTAAAGTGTTAAACACACTACAAACTGAAATATTTAAAATGACTAATTAAACTGGAACATTTTATTAATATTATTAATGTTGCTGGATGAAAGAATAGTTCAATGTTAAAATCTAACTTTGTGTAAAGTTAATAATATTGTTGAACTGTATGTTCTGATCAACTTAATCATATATGTATTATTGATCTGTATATAATATAACTTGGTACAAAACTACACTGGAAAAGTATTAAATCCAATGTATTTTACCATTGATACTCTAAATTGGTAACCAACAATACATTAGCGAAATATAAATTAACATTTTAAGTATCATGGGCTGTAAAATAATAATTTCTAAATATGTTACTGTAGGTGATTCATTGGTGTATCACAATGGTTCAAGATTCTCAACAGAAGATCAAGATAACGATGAATATAGTAAACAATGTTCTACCCATCAAGGTGGTGGTGGTGGATGGTGGTTTAAATCTTGTGTTCATAGTACCTTAAATGGAGTGTACCATAAGACTAGTAAAGCTTCAAAAGCTTGGAATGGTATTTCTTGGAACACCTTTGGAGGATCATCTGTTTCTCTAAAAAAAACAGAGATGAAAATTAGACCAGTTAATTTGGGTCCCCAATAAATATTTTCTGTCAAAACATTTGTAAACATACTTAACGTATTGAAAATCAACTCTACAACTTTTACTTTAATTGTATTCCAATGGATATATTCAAATGAATGTTTGTAATACGTTTAAACATTTAAAAAATTTTAAAATTAAAATGGGTGATTGATGAGTAATTTTCTTTTCGTATGAATCCATGAAAATATAAAATAAATTACTTAATGTTGTTTACGTCTTCTTTTAATTTTGGTAAGTGATAATGTTAGGTGTATTGTACAAATCAATAAAAATGTCTTGAAGGAAGTTGTTGGTATCTTTTCTGCTTGTCATCATTTCTAAGAGTTTGTCATTCATAACTAATCAACATTGTTAGAATACCTACCATCATTGTTCTTTCTGGAGAACATAGTAAAATTTCAGTAAAAAAATATATGTTTTTACACTTTTCTATAACTAACTTAACTCTCTTTTCAATTCGTAATAAATATTATATATTTTTTACATTACCATATTTCAACTGGCAGGTTCTACTGTATCAAACCAAACTGTTTGGAATCCTATTAATATTTACCTGTTTTATACAAAATCTCTTTATCAAACGGTGGCTTAGCTGTGGTTTCGGGTGACAGAGTAAGGGACAAGAAAGTTCTGTAATTATGTGTTACATACATCTTTGGAAAGTTGATTATCTGCTGTATCCAAATATCAATGTATGTGATGGTAATTTATTTGAGTAAAAAGTTATGAGCAGTCAAATAGACACATGGTAGTCGAGTTGCCGTATTACCTTTTTAGATTCTCCAGTTCAATTATGCGACTTTTCTTCATTGTCTGTTTGATGGTGTACACCGTTTTCTTTATCTTTTGATCTGGAGGAAGGCTACTACTACTACTACTATCACTACTCTCCTTGTCAGCATCAAACCTATTTTTGAGTGTCATTACATTGTCTTTGGAGTAGATATATTGATTTGACTGAACAAGAGATGTCGAAAAGTCCATCGTGATCGCATATATATCGGCTTCACAGGTTGCAAATCGAAGATCTCGGAGCCTTGCACATCCAGGTTCTCGATGGAATGTTACATATACACGACTGTTTCCATTTAAGTGTAATACGTGAGTTACGATTTAGATAGTTACATAGTGTGAGTGTTAAGTATATTTATTTTTAAAAGCAATAGTTTATCTCAGTTTTATTTATTTAACTTTTTAAGAATCGTACGTTGTGTAGTTTATTAGTTGCTGATTGTTATATTATTGTACCATGTTACTAGAATCTTCTAAATTTTTCTTGTTGTTTTACATGAATAATATTGTATCATAACATCTCCTAGTTACGGAACGTCCGAGGCCTCTGTCGGGCTGTAGATACGCGTCAAAATGTGTATATATATAGGATAGATATGTGTATATATATATATATATATAGGATAGATAGAGTTAGTTAGATTGATTGTGAGATTAGTCATAAAAAGCATACAGTGGCGATTTCTAAAGTGAAACTATCATAGATTGTATTGCAATAACAGAGTAGCCGATGAATAATTCGTTTTGTTGAATTGTGTTGTAAAGTAAC